CCAATATCAAAGTTTTTGAAATCAGAGAGAATGCTACAACAATCTTTGCTTATTGTTTTAAGTTTTTGTTGTTTATATCTGTCTTGACAGATTCTATCAATTTCTTCTTTTGCAATTTTTGTTGCATAAGAAAGACTGGTTTGCTGGATTTCTCCAGTAACTTCTTTTTTCCATCTGTCTGTACAGGTTTCTCCAATAATTGGAATCTTCATGAGGTAAGCAGATATCCATTGCGCATATTCACTTCTTTGTGGAATATCATATAGATATGATTCATACATACATGTGTATTTGTCGAGAAGACTAATATCATGTAATTGGAGTTTTGTCATTGAAACTCTTGCTATGTCAACTTTCTTATTAATGGTGAAGTCTTTATTAGAAATATAATCAAGACCTAAGAAAGTAGTGTATATGACATTTATGATATTATCAAAAAGATCTGAACCATGCATTTCTTCATTCCAATTATTGTTTCTTAGGAATTTTTGCACAATTCCATCAGTTTTGTGTTCTAAAAGTAGTAGAACATTTTTTGCTTTTTCAAATTCATCTGGGTTTGTCTGTAAGATTAGTGAAATCTCAGTAACCCATTTTTCTACAACTCTTTCTCTGAGTTTTAGATCTTGGATACAATCAATATTGAGTACATTGATCGTATTGGATCCTTGACCACTATTTGGAATACCATTGTGGACAGGCATTTTGAACTCATACTTCTTTTTATTGCCTCTTCTTGTAGCTGTATAAGAAGATTCTGCTTCATCATCTTCCATATCTGAATATTCGAACTTAACAGTCTTTGTATTTGTTTTAAAGTTATCTTCTTCTTCTGATTCAGTGTCAGGTTCATTTATTTTAGTCATTCTAAAATATTGATCAAAAAGTTTGGGTTCTTTTTGATACAATTCTTCACATTCTTCAGTTTCTAATGATAAAAGTCGAATAAGTTTTTGGTCAGCTTTATCATAATCTTCAAATTGAAGGTTAAAGAAATATTTCTCGAGTTTCTCAGAGATTGTTTCTTTCATTTTTACTCTTTCCTGAAAATGTCAATTTTCTGGGAATTTTTTGAGCTTCCTAAGTCAGGGTTTCCAACACTAGGATTAGGAGGTGAGTATTTCTTAAGACCTGAATATTTTCCTGGCTTGGATTTTTGTTCTATGATGGAGATATTTTTGATGTGCTCAAGAATGTCTTTATTACAAGGGCAAGAGTCAATCTTTTCAGATAACTCCTTAATAATGTCTGCAATAATTTTTGCAGATGCTACTTCCAACTGGGCAATGGTTACGTATTTATTGACTATTAAGTCCAAGTTTATAATCAGACCATCTATTTTTTCATTAAGGAGGTTGATTGATCTATTGAGCTCGGGTATCGAGGTGGTTGATCTATTGAGCTCGGGTATCGAGGTCATCCTATTAGTTGTTTTAACTGATCATGTATATTAGTGATCTTAAGGTTGATTTCCTTAAGAGTGCCCTCAATATTTGCCTTTTTGGCGACTTCTTCAACAAATTGGTTGTTTTTTAAAGAGTTTTCTAAAAGAATAGAATGTTTGTCAATAGACTGCGTTAACTTGATAGTTAATTTATTTTGTCTTTCAATAACTTCCAAGAATTTTTCCAAATCTTTTTTATCAAGATTGTTTTTAACCATAAAGGCTAAATCGTTTTTAAATTGGTTAAAAGGTATTTTATTTTTTGAAATATCTTCAGAAATATCTTTTGAAATACCAAGATAATGGCTTATTTTTGAAGTTTTTAAGAGGCGTCTTGCAATGATCTGGTTGAGATTATTGCAATGATTTACAATTGTTTGAATACCGGCTTTTCCTGAAGTAGAGAAAACGTATTCTTTCTTTTCAGTATTATCGTCAAGAGTTTTAATTTTGACTGTTTTACCTTTTTTATAGAAATGAGGAAAATCAATTTTATTATTCATTTATAATGTCAGTGATTTGTTTGATATTCTGGCGTAGACTATCAATTTTTAAAGACATGTTTCTTATTAAATTATTATCTTTTCTTTCCGAGCTTTCTCCTATGTGGAGTGAATCCATAGAAATTCTTGGTCTAAGAGTTTCTCCTAGAGCTTTTTTATTTCTAGCTATATTTAAAACCCAAGAGTTTTCTTGAGGATTTATGTCGCAGAATTGTTTATCTTTGACATGGCCTATTTCTGAAAAGACATCATCAAGTTCGATGTACTCGTCTTTCTTATAGTCTATGCTATGGTGACTGTTGGTCAGGGCATATCCTATAAGATATGTTATGGTGAATGGTTTATCACCTGGACTCATAAGGTCACTTCTTTCAAAGTGATGTATAAAAGATAAGGTTTTATCTATATTTGCAGATTTTAAATCCAGAGCAAACTTTGGATAGACTGAAAACATAAACTTTTGGTAAGCAAGGTTTCCCTTTGCAGCACCTAAGATGCAGTCCTGTCTGTCAGTAATTCTGTTGTCAATTAAGGCCATTTTTATGGGAGAATTTATTCCTGCTTGGAATTGGGATTTTAGCAAAATTTTTACAGCTCCGATATGGACCATTCTAATTTTTGATCTAATCTCAACTGGAATACTTTTTAAGTTATTGTTTATTTGTTCCTTAGTTAAAAGGGGTAGAAAGACAGCTCCTATTGTATCTTTTATGTCTACTGACATTTCTTTAGTACTAACAAAGTAGAAGATTTCATTTTTCCTTTTAAGAGGATTTAAAATACTAAGTTTAGAAGGAACATTTTTGAAAATGTTTTCTTTCTTTATTTTTAAATCTATTTTCTTAACTCGAGAGAGGTCTTGTTTTATTAAAAGATTTGAATGAAAGCCATCTTCATCTTCAACATAACTTAAGATTTGTTTTTCTTCTGAATTATTTTCTTCAGTGTTGTTGAAAATTTCTTTATTCATTTTAAGAAAATTTTAATAAGTTAAAATAAATTTTCTGAGTTCTGAAACTAATTTTTTATTTCTATCAAGATGTTCTTGATGTACTTTTTGCTCATGTAGGAGATACTTACGTATACTAACCAAGTTTGGTATATATTCGTGAGTATGTTTATTTTGTGCTTGTAGAATTCTGAAATTTATATGCACTAAATCTTTTTTATTATTGAAAAGTATTTCTTTATGTTGAGAAATTTCCATTTCTTTATTATGAATATCTTCAAAAATTACACTGTAAAGTGTTTTATTATAATGTAATGCCATTTTTATCAAGGCTCTGATACCAGTTTGGTATCATCATGATCTTCAGCAAAAATGAACAAGAACATTATGTTCATGTCACACAGGTTCTCAGAACTATTTTAAAATATGGAATAATACTTTCAAAAAAGAAAGCTCATCTTTTCAAAACAAAAATCAATTTTTTGGGTTTAGAAATAAATGAGGGTACTCATTGTCCTCAAAAGCATATTCTTGAACATTTACATGACTTTCCAAATGTTTTAGAAGACAAAAAGCAACTACAAAGATTTCTTGGTGTTTTGACTTATGCTGAAACATATATTGAAAAACTTGCAGCCATGAGAAAACCTTTACAGGCAAAATTAAAAAAAGATGTCATTTGGAATTGTCAAGTGCTGATACAGACTACATCAAAAAGATAAAGAAAGTTTTAATCAATTTTCCAAAACTTTATCTTCCAAACATTGAAGACAGTTTAATTATTGAAACTGATGCTTCTGATGAATTTTGGGGAGGTGTTTTAAAAGCTAAAAACCCCAAAAACGAAGAACAAATTTGCAGGTACACCTCTGGCAGTTTCAAAGCAGCTGAGAAAAACTACCATAGCAATGAAAAAGAATTACTCGCTGTAAAAAGAGTTATTACAAAATTCTCTGTATATTTAACACCAGTAAATTTCCTGGTTCGTACAGATAATAAAAATTTTACTTATTTCCTCCGAACGAAGATTGCAGGAGATAACAAATTAGGCCGGCTAATACGATGGCAAGAGTGGTTCTCACGATATACATTCACTGTTGAACATCTCGCAGGAAACAAAAACGTACTGGCAGACTGCCTCACTCGTGACTTCAGGTATGCCTTACATCATCCATGATCTCACTCGCTCCTCTCGAGCCCTATAAAAGGATATGATCCTCATGACATATTTCCTCACAAAAACTTCACCTACAAAAAAGAGAGGGGGAGATTAGAGAGAAAAGTAAACAAAAATTGAGTTTACAAAAATGGAAGACCTCAACATTTTGAGGATGAAGAAACAAATGCTCCTCATAGAGCTATCTGCAATTGAGCAGAAAATCAACTTGTATGAACAAGTAACAACGGTCACCAATGTACCGGAAAGCGAAAGCTCAAAAACAAAGGCTATTCCAATGCAAACGGCACCTGGTAAAGAATCAACAAATCCGTTGAAAGCTGATGCTTTGCTAAAAAGCATAATAAAGGAGACAGCTACTCCTCTTCCTAATGGAAAAACTAGCTTATTGGTTGATCCCAATCCTTGTACTGAAGGAATCAGTAAAATGACAACTTTGTCACCCACTAACAAATATGTGCAGGAGTTTACACCAGATTACAAAAAAGCTCTTAACAAAGAAGCTGAAAGATTTTATGTAATCTATAAAGGACCCCATGCCGGTGTTCATACTGACTGGGGAATTACAGAAACCTTCTGTAAAGTTGATAAAGTTACTTGCAAAAAATTCAGAAATGAAACATCTGCAAGATTAAGCCTTGCCACTTATCAAGACGATACAAGCAAGACTAACCAACCACTTCTTCGACCAAAAATTCAAAAAGTCAAAGAAGCCCACAGAGACCAAAGGTTTGACGTTCCAATCGACGTTCAACAAATGGTTAACTATCCTGAAATCTCTTTTGAAGATTTCAGAACAATCTGGAAGAAAGCAAGAGTTGCATGCCCAGAAGACCTTGTTCATGAAAAGTTTTTCACTACGGACAAGAAAACAAAAAGTCTGTTCAACTTTCTCGAAGGAGCAGATGCAAAATTAGTCTACCAATCCTTTCAAGCTGGACTAATCGACAATATCTACCCAAGTTGCAACCTTCAAGAACTCAAATTCTTCCCAAGCAGCATGGTAGAATCCATTAAGAACTTTCGAAAGAAAGTACTTAAAGCAAAAGATAATCCGATCTACATCAGATGCATCTCTTCACTCCCAGAATGGATTCAAGAATCAACTCTTTCTCCATACCATTTTCTGGAAATTGGTCTTTCTAAAGCCAATAGAGAGATTGAACAATCTCAACCAATGGAAGATAAAGATTTACCTTTCACAGAAATTCTTCATCCCAATCGCGTCAATGGTTTAAGAAGAATATCAGAAAAAATCATTGAAATTTATCTCTGGTTCAAAAAAGAAGATTAATTATACCGATTCACATTGTATAATTACAAGCTGGAGTTACAACAACACCGGCCAAGAAGATCTTCGTCAAGCCTCCAAGTTTGGAGAAAAATTCATGAACAATAGCATGGAAGTATCCAATGCTACACGCCAGCACTTCTGCCGACATGCAGAACAACTTTTCGAAGAACATTTTGTCACTTTTGCGAAAGCAAAGATTCAGAGACAAAGGAGGGACCCCCCTCTGAAGATGACAAATCCTCATCATGTTAAAGAAAGATGCTTCACATGTCAAATGGCCCCGCCACTCAAAATAATAATGCCTTTTCTCCATTATTAGAAGCTTTCCAGTTGTCCACAATAATGTAATCTTTAGTGGATAAAAAACGTCATGCCTGACATAATAGGCAAATATCAGACCCTCTCAATATATCTATAAATTGAGAGTTATGTTTTGGTTTTAAGACATCGCAATAACGAGTGCAACAAAAAACACTCTCTATCTATTAAATTTTCAGTTCAATGTCTAGTGAGTAATTCCTCCCTTAGAAGGGATAAAATGTAAAATATTGTAAGAGTTTTCCCTTTTTGGGAACTCTTTTATCAATAAATCTTTGTTTTGTTATTTTTGAGTGTTCATACAAATTAGAGTCATGAAACTTGTAAGTGACAGAGTGTCAGGTCG